GCTGCCTCCTGTGATGGCCAAACAGTATCCTGCAAAACAGGGGGACAGGTTAGTGCTCTCAGTCTCATCAACAACAGGAGATATCAATAACCTTATGTTAGCTATAGTCTGGTATGACATGAAACATACTATAAAAAATAGTATAGAAAATTTCAAGAAATGTGAATATTCCTAGCCTTAAGTATACCACAGTATCAGCAATTGAAAACTGCATCATACACAGTACAGTATACCACAGTATCAGCAATTAAAACTGCATCATACACAGTACAGTATTCCATAGTATCAGCAATTAAAACTGCATCATACACAGAACAGTATTCCACAGTATCAGCAATTAAAACTGCATCATACACAGTACAGTATACCACAGTATCAGCAATTAAAACTGCATCATACACAGTACAGTATTCCACAGTATCAGCAATTAAAACTGCATCATACACAGTACAGTATACCACAGTATCAGAAATTGAAAACTGCATCATACACAGTACAGTATACCACAGTATCAGCAATTAAAACTGCATCATACACAGTACAGTATACCACAGTATCAGCAATTAAAACTGCATCATACACAGTACAGTATTCCACAGTATCAGCAATTAAAACTGCATCATACACAGTACAGTATACCACAGTATCAGCAATTTAAACTGCATCATGCACAGTACAGTATTCCACAGTATCAGCAATTAAAACTGCATCATACACAGTACAGTATTCCACAGTATCAGCAATTAAAACTGCATCATACACAGTACAGTATACCACAGTATCAGCAATTAAAACTGCATCATACACAGTACAGTACACCACAGTATCAGCAATTAAAACTGCATCATACACAGTACAGTATACCACAGTATCAGCAATTTAAACTGCATCATACACAGTACAGTATTCCACAGTATCAGCAATTAAGACTGCATCATACACAGTACAGTATTCCGGGCTGGGCCGTAAAGTTCCGGAATGCAGTTATTAAAGATTATAGCGGTCCGGGTATGATATAAATATATATACACTTGTTTGTTGCAGGATATCACAATACATGTACTAAAATATACATGTATTATTCAATACGCAGCCAATAATCCTTCGCAAGTTGACGAAGGCTAGGAAAGCGACAACAGATGTGACCCCTACAACAGTAAGGAGAAGGGTGAAAGAAGTAGAGACAGCCAGGAAGATAACCAGTAGAGGAGACACTGCGCTACAGCTTACTAAGGAGTTGCAACGCCTACCTCGTGAAGACTTACAGGCTGCATTAAAAGCTGTCAAGCTGGACAAGATCCGCATTCCAGCAGCCAGTCTCCTGTCAGCAAAAACAGACCTGAGCATAACCTGGCATTAGAAGTTATTTTGGATATGCAATTGACATCATAATGTTTTTCATAGTAAACCAATACATAATCAATCAATACCATTCTTTTTATGTTACAGACTGCAGTATCAAGCACTTCCTGGCCAAGTACAGAGAGCTGTTCCCTACCTCGTCTGTATCCATCAAGATGCACCTCTTGGAAGAACATGTCATACCCTGGATAAGGTGTTGGGGGGTTGGGTTGGGTTTTCATGGGGAGCAAGGGGTGGAACAGGTCCATGCCGTTTTCAATCGGATCAACTGATCAACCAGCTCCATCCCGGATGCGGTAAGACGGCTCAAGTCCACACTGGAAACCCATCTGCTACAGGTGCATCCAGGGAGACAGGATGGTGTGCCTGCACCAAAGAAAAGAAGGAGAAATGTACAAATGTAGTTATCTAGAAATGATGTTAACAAATTACGGAGTAGAAACAATGTTTAGCATTACTAAGTATTATATACATGTACTTGTGGCATTTCTGTGAACACAATAGCACTGTATGGTTACAAATGTAAACAGTTGACAGGTAGAATTTATAGTTAGATCTTTTCATGCAGCAGTACCAAAACAAAGCGTGGACAATTGTTTTGCTCAACTGTACTGACTATTGCTGTATGATGCACACTGTAAAGAACTATATATATTATAATTTTAACGTTACATGTGTAAAATTGGCATTTACTCACGTTTTGCAAACTGAAGTCTCCCTCGTTAATATTGGCAACAGCAGTACAGGGTTCCCTTTAACTAGTCTAAGTTAAGAAAACATTCACAAAATCATATTCTACCGGGGGTAGTACATGAGTGATACTACTTGGGGAGGGGGGCTATTTTCCTTTTATATGCACCAACCGATCTGTCCCATGCTTATGTCGGCCCAAAACGAGGAAAATTGAGGAAACAAGTGCAGTGGAGTTTTTGAACAGGTATGGAAATACATGTAACCCAAACAACAGTTATGTAACACGTGTGAACACACTGCCGATGCTAATGAGTCGAACGTGTAAATATGGTGTAACATGCATCTAAACATTTGACGCCCCATATTGCTAATAAGAAAGTGTCAAGCTAACGCCAGTTTTCCAGCTCTAAGAGACACATAATTTGTGGTTTGAAAACCACCAGAGTTTGCTCCTGAAAAACTTGTAGTCATACGGAAATATCAAGAAGTAAACGTTACTTACCAGGCTCTTTAATACACATCCGAAGAGAGACCAGCCAGTTTTCTTCGTAATTTCTGCATTCTCGCGGCTTAGAGGTGCTAAAGACTCAACCAATTCTCGCAAGACTCTGTTCGCTACCCTGTAGCAACGTTGTTCCCATTGCAAATGGTTGCATGTGACTATATGTCATGATTTGTGGTGTCAAAGGCCAAAAGTCACAGTGCGCTAGCGGGAACACGGTATTTTCCCATATATGCAAATGAGCAGGTTAATTTTCCCATATATGCAAATGAGGTTAGGCGCGGAGCGGCGCGTTCGAACTAAATGTTCCACTCGAAACAGGCGTGCTGCCGGCACTCAACTCGGGGAGGGGCAAACCTATTCAAAACAGGCGATAGTGCCCCTCCCCAGGAACCATCAAACTGTCATTAGGGATATCCATTTTATTGTGGTGGATTATCACACTTCTAGGCAGTTGAAAAGGCATTCATTGGGCCACACGCCTCCTGCCGACTGTGCCTATTCATGCGTCTGGTTCACACCTCCTTGCAGAACGACTGTAATGTGTTGAAGTGATTAGGTTTATAGCACATTGAAGTTTTCGACTGCCTGCAGAGGTTGGGTTTGGTGGGAAAAAAATTCAGTGCAAAAGAGAAACCCCGATAAAAAAAGCTTAAAAACACGCTAAAAATACCCCAAAACCCAAACCTCTGCTTGGAGAGTAGGTGGTAGGCCCAGTATACAAAATGAGTCTGGGGGTCTTCTCTGAACATGGCCAAACCACCTAAGCCTTTTTTTACAAATATTGTGAATAATTGATGCAGCAATATATTATGTTTAAAGTTAAAACTTTTGGTCCAACATAGGGGTGGGTACCGGTTCAGTCGGACCGGTTTAGACCGGAACAACATTCAAGAACCGAGTCCAAAAAACCGAAACGTGAAAACCGGATGACCGGACCTGATGTACATTTCTGTAGATTGTACACACAACACACACATCTTTAGATAATCTGGCCATGGCAGGAAAAAAATAAACCCTGAATCATACTAGATCAGCCTAAATCCATGTTTATGCGTTCAAAAACAAGAAAAAAATGTTTCCCGGTATTAATCTCTTGAAACACGGCGCTGAATATTGACGCAAAAACATTTCGTGCACGGCGAGCCCTCCCCCATTGTGACGCAATCCCGCGTCACGTGTCGGCATTTCGCATCTCTGATTGGTTGTTGCGCCCGCTGCTGGCAGCGTAGGGAGCGAGGCGGCAGACTTGAGCGAGCCGACGCGCATGTAAACAACTTTTCTTTGTCATTGTTCGATATCGCCGCTAAAATTCTATTTTGCACAACCACACATCGATATTCTAGTGAAGAAATGTATAGTTTCAAGAATCTTTGGGGAAAATATATGCTTCTATGCGGATTTTTAGCGTTTTCGACGTGATTTTGTCGTCACTTAACCCGGAAGTGTGGACCGCGGCGTGGCTAAATTTTTAGCGTATTTTACCCTGCGTTTTACCAATCAAAACAATAAACAACCCCCGCTAAGAGAACCCTGTAAGATTTTAGATCGCAGCAATTAAGTATTTGATCAAATTATTTGTGGATGTGCTGGCATTTCAGCCGTATTATTCATCGGGAAAAGCGGCCTCATGCAAGGCCGTGTCGTGTACACGAAGAAATTGTGTCTCGCTTGCCAAAATATGATATACTATACTACTGTACAATAATCAGGTCCGGTTCAGGTCCGGACCTGGACCTGATCCTCTGAACCTGATCCGGACCTGGACCTGAATTTTCTATACTGGTACCCACCCCTAGTCCAACACAAAAAATTCTCAAAAAATTTGTTGTTGGACCAAAAGTTTTAACTTAAAACATGTAACTACATGTACCAACACAGATGAACTTTCACGATCATAGTATGAAGTAATATGTGTTTAATTTAGACCACAGTTTTATTGAACAGTGATTTGTGACGTATAATAATTACTGCTGCCCCCCTCCCCCAGGATAAGGTGTTACACCAGGCTATGGCTATCTTCACCTTTATGGGAGCCCATGTGCTGAGACAAGACGACACCTACAGTCTACAGATCATCACCAGAACTGTGGACACGGTCATACCTGCACTCATACAGGTAAAAACTACATTTTGCATACATTTTGCTACTAATTTGCATCATCCTTGTCTTGACTTGTTTAACTTTTGTTTCCTCTTGGATGTTCAAAAAATTACTTATTTGCAAAATTAATCAATCAGTAGTTCGTACTTACAAACCTGCTTTTCTGACAACTCTCCAAGTGTAACTGAGGAAAGATAGTGGATGCTCCCTGAAACGTCTGACTGTTTCCAAAATCATAGCCATGCAGTTGCTCGAGTAACTATTTTTTGGCATTTCTTATTACCTGTATGTCTAACCTTCACTGATGTACATTTTGCATACAAACTCGGCACTTGGTATCTTGACATGGTGTCAATTTAGTCAATGTAGCATCATCAATTTGGTAGTTTTTGTTTGTGAGAGAGGAAGGATGGTGTTACATTATCGCTTACACGTACACTTACATGCAGAAAAGGACTTTTTCCCTGCTACGTACATGTAACTCCCTAACCAGTAGAGAATGGCTACTTTAAAATGTGTTATAGTTAAAGAATGATTTGCTGCACAATATGACAGGTAACATTTTCCAGAATAATGTTGTAAGTTTTAAAATGTCTGATAGCTTTACTGTAAGAGGAAGACATGTTGTTAACTGACGAATATGATTTTTCATCTCACTCAAGGCCAGTGAAAGGAACCCGTCTCTCACCGTAGCCAATCAGAAGCTGGACAGCATTGTTGCCATGGTGATTCGCGTGTTTGTGGATGCCCTCCCGCACATCCCGGAGCACCGGCGCCAGGCCGTGTTCCACCATCTTGTGCGTACAGTCGGCGGGGGCCAGTACCTGTGGACAACGTTAGCGCTGGTGTTCGAGAGTAAAGTTGTGGGGAAGACTGGAGGAGGAGTGCATTCTGATGGAGAAGACAAGGTTAGTACAGTCAAACTTGCCCAAGGGACCACTGCTTTTTTCTCGGTCCCGATTTTTTTACCCATAAATGCAAGCATTTTAAAAAGTGGTCCACTAACTTGTCCAATGCGACCACGACCAACACTTTTAGGTCCGCACATAGCCCAATCTCTGCCTATAATCATCACTTTCAATCGTGTGGCAGAAAATGTTTTTCGATGATACCTAGCCAGAAATCTTGATGGAATTGGCCATTTTTTCATTGCTTTCGACAGCATGACGGTCTTTGCGCAGTGTAAAATGTCACCAGCTGGTCACTTTGGTATAGTGGGATAGTCTATTGTAAAATGACTGGACATTCTGCTGCGGATTTCTTCTGTCTTTTCCTGATTTTTGTATAGAAGACCAGTGTGTAAGAAGACCTCTATTATAATTCCTCAGTCCCCTAAGTGGTTGTCTGAGACAAGTTTGACTGTACATGTATATAATATTATAATTACTATTCCACAAATGCTTGTCATTTTATAGGCCATATCAAGTAGTAGAAGCTATTTTTGTGAGTCTTTGGTGGGTTTTTTTTTGTATACATAATCATACACTTGCCTCTGACACTTTTTGTGCCCCCCTCCCCCCTTTCAGGTGCTGGGGTCAGATGCAGAGTTCTGTGTGGAGCTGTGCTCACACTTCCCCCCAGATATCCAGGTGCTGAGCCTGGTGCAGCTGCTGAAGTACATCTCCAGCCTTCCGGAGGACAAGGAGGACAGGAAAGGTGTGTGGGACATAAACAAGTTTAGCCTTGTGCCTTAGGATTGCAATTTCCTAATAACGAGTTAACATATATCAAGTTTTAAAGTGGTATTAGGTACGATTTTTTCGCGAAAATTTAAAATCTGATCAATTGAAATTTTCTCATCTAAATTGTCATATTCAATAACTTTCAAGTTATTAGCTTCGCTGTTTTGCTTTTCCAGCAATTCAGCGCAACGCGAGAATAAGTTACGTCAGGCCTGCTGTATTTTTAGGAGGCTCGTAAACAGAATGTAAAGAAACAGTCTTTGTTTGGGTATCTTCAGCAATTTCAAACACGTTTTTTGCGGCGCAATGACGTTGATCTTTTACTCGCAAAATGTCATTATGAACACAGGTAGGCTAATAGTGCAAGAAAATGTGTAAAACAACGATGTTGAACATAGTGATAATTGTCGCTTTAAAACTGGGAGAGATTAGATTTTGCCAAATTAAAAGTGTCTTCTCTTTCTTTTATTTTGTTTGAAATAAAAGGACCATCCCCAGCCAAGAGGCCAAGGAGGAACGAACCAGTCTCGTCGGAAAAGCGGTCTGAGCCTCTCTTTGACGTGGCCAATCACACGGCTCACCAGCTGCGGAACTTTAAGTTCCTGGCCGTCAGTTTCTTCCCGGTGTTGCTAGGTAACAGCTTGTTTGTCGGACAGTTGGTGGACTTGGAGATGGAGGCTAGCGACAAGATGAGAGGATTGTACCAAAGGTTTGTATGTTTGTTTGTTTAGGATCTCCATTAGGCCATGTTGATTTCATTATATGGATGACATCCTCTGGGAACCCCAAAACTGATGCGCGCGTGCGAATAAAAAAAAGGTTTGCAAAAAAAAGGTGCTTTTTAATGAAGTCTATGAGTATCATTTCTAAATATTCTTTTTGCAACTTACAGTAACATCTGTGTCCATAATATCACCATAGTCCATAATATCGCCACCTTAAGAAAAAGTGTGCTTGAAGATATTTTTACTGCAACATACCCTAGGTATGTGCATTTGAGGTGTGCAGGAGTGCATACCAAAAGTATGTTGCAGTAAAAATATCTTAAAGCACACTGTTTCTCAAGGTGGCGATATTATGGACCCTGGTGATATTATGGACACGGATGTTATATATTTGCTCATTTTGCAACTGTTTTGTATGATTTACAGTATGGTTGAAAACTTTTTTTTTTGGAAACGGCCGAAAATTCATGCGAGTGCGGATGTCATCCACATAATCCAATCAACATCATGATGGCCTTAGTATGAATTTTCACACTTAGTCTATTCTTCCTGGAGTCCATAGTGAATCAGAAGATATTGGACCATCGCACACCGGGGCATGCCCCAGCCTACTCTTTTTGAAAGGTGTGGTGGGTTCTTTAACGTGCGTGGGGCATGGCTGTCCCCAAACACGGGACCTCCATTTAACGTCCTATCTGAGGGATATCCCTAACCATAGCTAGGTAGTACTCATTTTCACCTGATGAGGAAACTCATGTAAACTGCCTTCCCCAAGGGCACAAGACCAGTGGCAAAGGATTTGAACCCGGGACCTCTTGGTTCTGAGTCGAACACGCTACTGCTACGCCACACGACCCAGCATATGATGCATAGCGGTGTACAAATTGTTTCTTCGTACCTTTTAATGAGTGCAAATGCATGTGTTTGTCCTACACGTCCAATACCAAAATATTATTAAGATTTTAGTGGAGGATCCAAGTGAAGCCTTGAACGTCTTTTTCTCCCCAGTTTACTGGAGGAAACCCTTCAGTACATCCGTCAGGTTGCCTTGTCTCTTGACAAGAACTCCACCAACCCCACAGCCAGGTTCTGGAGAGCTCTACTGCACAAGGCCTACGACACATTAGAGAAGGTGTGTTAACTCGCATTTTGTTAACTTTTATGATCTTGAAATAATTTGTATTTTATACTTTGCTGCATCTTTGCAGACTACTGTACAATGTAGATGTACAATGTCATGTAATCATTTAACAACCCTCTTAACTGAATGTGATATGTGGGTACAATGTCTTTTACTTGTATTAGCAGCTATTTTTTTTTATTCATTCACAGTTTGACATGTACATGTATCTAATGAGTATCAGGCAAAAAGCACAATTGCTTATAAAAATCCTTCTACTTTAGAACATTTATTAACTACATGACTTTTTGTATAGAACTTAGAGTTAAACACAATAATTATTACAAAATACCTAATTACAAAGTGGCTAAAATGAAGATGAGTATAAACAAGACAAGTTCGTTATCTATCAATTACGAGACTCTACCTGAACAGTAAATAAAGGTTTGAACTAGATATAGTGATTCCTATTCAACAGTTTCAGCAGACTCACTCAGTTGTTTTGTTATGTCGTATTTAGTTTTTTATGATATTCATATTTTTCAGGTAAATGCCTTGCTGCCCACTGAAGTGTTCATCGGAGTGGTGTCAGGTCTGATGCAGAATAACATGGCTACTGTGAGGAAGAAGGCCATGGAGCTGCTCAACAGCAAACTGCAACAGCCAGGACAGCAATGGGCACAGGGGGAGGTAGGATACAGACTAGAACAGCCATGTTGTCATTGACCTAAAGTAGCATGTCGGCAAAATGTACTGCGCCTGCGCAAACCCTTATTTTGCGCAGTTTTCATTGGATTTTTGGTCACCATTGCATCAGAATTTTGCCTGTTGCAGAGGACATCTTTTCCGACATAACATTTGGAAACTGCAGACGGAGTGTTAACCTTACGTGCGCAAGTACGAGCTTATATGATCATGAGACGTACTGCCGAAGTGCTATGCATAATACATTACTTGTTTCGTGCAGGTGCAGTACGTTCTGCCAATTAAAGTGCTGTTAAAAATGTGGTAGTGGAACAATCGTTAAACTTTGATTGAATTAAAACTAAACTTGGTCTACATATTTGGCATTCTAAGTGAGACTTCATAAGGGTACGTAAGATACATTGTAAGTACAAAATTCTCACATACATTTTTAACAACTTTGAACTTTCCTTCCACTTGCCTAATTAGTTAAACAATCAATCAATCAATCAACTTTATTGCTCAACAACTGTAGCTGGTACAATGTATGGCAAAGAAACAACAATGGTACATACACAAACTAATACTAAAATATGATTCTAAAGAGCTAATCTATTGTGTTTTCTTAGGAAGAGTATTATTACATTCTGTAATTCAGGAGATATATCAGCTATTTACAATATGGTGTCGCTTTTGTAGTGATTCAAATATGAATTTTCCAACGTACACTGATAACAGAGTAGGTCTGGACATGAAAGGAGCATATTAAAGATATGATTTTGAGGAGGTAGCGTAACAGTGATTGTCTTTTCCCCAGGTTGCTCTACTGTTAGACATGCTACAAGAGTTACAGAGTGTTGCCATGGCCTCCAAAGATGACACACCCACAGCTGAAGAGCTGGCTGTCAATCGGCAGACAGCCCTGTATAGCCTGAAGCTGCTCTGTCGGGCACTGGGGACAGCACATCCGGACAGCTTTGTGGAGGTCTTAAAGGGGGTTACCAAAATCATGGATAACACTGAGAAAAACCCCTTGGTAAGAAGGACAATTTATAGATGATACAATTGTAGCAAGCTACATGTATAACAAGCAGGTTTAAAATAATTTATAAAACTGATGACTGAGAAAAACATAACAGTTGTAACTGCACCACATAGCTACATGTAGATACATTATACACTGTATGCACTGACAAAGCAGCAATGATATTGATGTTGCTAACTTAAAGATAGTTTGTCATACTGAAATCTGTTGAGTCCTGAGTTGAGGTATTATGCTGTTAAATTCACCTGTCTTGTCTACACACACAGAATCAGTCATTTATGTTCCTTAGTTAGTTCCCTTACCTGCATTTTCCTTAAAGTTTGTTTTATTTGTCTTGTTTGTAATTACATGTAACATCTGTGTCCATAATATCACCAGGGTCCATAATATCGCCACCTTGAGAAACAGTGTGCTTAAAGATATTTTAACTGCAACATACTTTTGGTATGCACTTCTTCACACATCAAAATGTACATACCTAGGGTATGTTGCAGTAAAAATATCTTTAAGCACACTGTTTCTCAAGGTGGTGAAATTATGGACCCTGGTGATATTATGGACACAGATGTTACTACATGTGCAGCTGCTTTTGCTTTTGGGCTGAGCTGTATGATAGAAGAAGTCAAGGAAGGTTAAAGAAAAATGTTCAAGGTCAAGGTTCAAAGCCATGTTTGTGATGATGTGAAAATGCCCCCCTCCCCCCTCAGGTTGTGTCAGCTGCCCTGCTGTGTCTTGCTGAACTGTGCAGCTGTCTGAAGGCTCACGCCATCCCCCACCTGCCAGCCTTCATGCCTCCACTCCTCAACATCTGTCAGTCAACACAGCTCAATAAAAGGTAGGAACTCAAAGTTGTATGAATTTTTTTTTTTTAAGGGTGTCGCTCAATGCAAGGCCATTTGGCCACTTCTAGGCATAGAGCTAGCCTGTAACTGTAACTACAGCAACTCTTCTCCCTGAGTCAGAAACATCCTCACAAGTAGTGAGGACTAACTGACCCACTAGGAGAAGCAGGGGTTACGAGGCTGGTCGGGAAAATTCCCTACCCCTTTTTTGACCATAATGGTTTGTTCCACTTCCGCTCACGTGGGTTCTTAAACGTGCTTGAGGTGTGTCTCCCCACAAACACGGGACCTCCATTTTAACGTCCCATCCGATAAGACGCCCCTAACCGAAGCTGCATGTAGGTACTCATTTTCACCTGAGTGAAGTGAGGAAAATCGTGTAAAGTACCTTTCCCAAGGGTACAACGTCGCGGCGCATGTTCGGACTTGTTCGGGTACGACCCGGAATCGAACCCGGGTCTCCCCGTTTCACAGTCCTGTGATGTACCACTACACCACACGACGCCAATTGATTAAAAACGAGAAATGTTGTACTCTTTGAGGTGATTGTTGAAGTGCTAATTGTAATTTCCATTTAGGGACTCAAAATTCATTGTGGGGAATATACAGTAGGTGCACTGGTGCACTCAACCTAAACATTGGGTGCACAAAAAAGTTATGGGGTGCATCTGTCCATATAAAATAAAATAAGTAGAATGTCAGGAAAAACTTATCATGTTTCATCACCAAAGAAAACTACTACATTACAATGATTTTATTATTTTCTAACACTTGGATGTTAAGAATACACGCATGCTGTATATACTATACATTTTTCTTAACATATCAAAACCTAAAAAAAAAGGGGTTCACAGCTCCAAATTGGGAGTACACATGCACCCAGTATTTTGAGCCCTGCATCTTTGTATATCAATCAGATTAAATCCTCAAGCACATTGTGATTGACATATTTCTTGTACATGTACTTACAATGTAAATGCTGTAAAATGTTACTTTTTCAGTCAGGAGTTATTGCTGCTGAGTGCCCTGACTGCTGCACATAAAGTGTGTGAGAATCTGCCTCACTTCCTCAGCCCCTACCTGCTGCCACTGCTTCTACAGGTATGTGTAATAGTATAATGACATTCTTTATTTTTCAAATAAGGCCATGTTGATTTTGATTATATGGATGACATCCGCGCGCACATGAATTTTTGGCCGTTTCCAAAAAAAATAAAAATTTCAACCATACTGTAAATCGTACAAAACAGTTGCAAAATGAGCAAAAATATACCATAACTTACAAAAAACCATACCAATGTCGTAGAATGCCAAAATCAAACGAAAAAGACGAAATTGTAATGAAATGAACTTGAAGACTAGATTATTCGCCAAACCATATTCTGTCCCATTTGTTCAACCCTCATGACCACATAGATTTCATAATGAAAAGAACTTTTTTTTTGCAAAACTTTTTTTTTATTCGCACGCGCGCATCAATTTTGGGGTTCCCGAAGGATGTCATCCATATAATCAAATCAACATGGCCTAACTGACTGAACATGCAGGGAAACATTAGACACATAGCAATGCAATACATCAACACACAGTTTTCCGTATTCAGTTTTCCTTAAAATCATTAGTACTCATTATCACTATTGAGTGGGAGATGACATGATTATTTCCATTCTAACTTACAAGTTTAGTAACTCAGACACCTTACTGTAAATCGCTACTGTAACAGTACAGAGTAAGGTGTCTGAGTTACTTAAGGTGTCTCAGTTACTTAAGTATAAATAACACAAATCATAAAGTGTGAGACTTACATTTAGCAATTTATGTTCATGACAGTGTATGTACATGTATGTAAGATAAAAAAAATATTGAACCTCTATTTAACAGCCCAAATAACATCACATTGCTCACATACATGACAATACACAATTTGGTACATACATGTATATCAGCTGGTTCATGTTTTGCTTGATAAATTTTAACCTTCTCCCTGCTGGTTAGCCCTATACCTGGTCCAATACAAAGTTAACTAACTTAGGTGCCAAATGGCTACCTTATCATTCTTAAAGTTAAAAGCTGTTGTGTTGTTGTTATTCAGGTTACTAGACTGTCCCATTTGATGTCAGAAGCTGAGGAATTTGCTCAGAAATCCCACATCACAGCAAGGCTGAAGGCTATCAGGTACATGTAGTTAATAAGTTCATATCTTAAAACTTTATATCTTCATATCTTAAAAGAGGAACCAGTAAATTTCCGTACTGTTAGATGTACTGTAAGGCCTTAAAATTAAACCATCTTACTTACTTCACATTCGGCATTCTTTGCTAAAGCATGAAAATATCAATTCTATCTACATCGTAGATCCTTATTGTTTATGGTACTTTACAACTTGTAATTATAACTTGAGCCTGAGCATCATTTTTGTTTAAAGTTTAACATGGAACCCAAACTCAATACATGTAGTATGTATGTTTAGGATCTGTCCTTGGTGCTGAAAACAGTGTGATTTCTCTAAAGTCAGGAAAAAAGGCTTATAGATACATGCATGTACATGTACATGTATGTGTCGATGAAGGCTAGACATCCAGGTAGTAAGATATGCCAGTTAATCAAGAAACTGGATATGATTTTGGAAACGGTCAGACGTTTCAGCTAGCACCCACTAGCTTTCGTCAGTGACTGATAGGCCAAAAGAGAATTGCAGGTTAAACTTTATAAGCACAAACTATTGATTAATATGCAAATAGGTGAAGACAATCTTCCAAATGTATGTTTTACCTAGTGGTGCATACCTAACCCAACATTTAGGTTCAGGTCCGGATTCAAGTCCAGAGGTTTAGGTTCAGTTCCGGACTTGTAAGTCCGACCTACATATGTAAACCCATGGCATATACAAAATTGCATGTTGGCAACCTTGCAATGTTGTCTGGATGAAACTTTGGCCACATAACATGGAGGCCAGTACTTGACGATGCCCAATGGCAATGTTTTCTTCATTTTGCAGCAAAGATTTTGCAATCTATGGAAGGTTTTAGATGGTTTGGAAAGAAAAGGGGTATGTAAAATCGTCTTTTATGGTAATAAGTCCGGACTCGGTTCTTGACATTTAGGTTTTTTTGGACTTGAACATTCTTACAAGTCCGGATCCAAGTCCAGTGAACCCGGGTATGCACCACTAGTTTTACCCCTTATGTGTTGTTCCCCAGACACTGCCTTGCCAGCACGATTGCCCCACGTATCCTCATCCCTGCTGTAGCACAGTGTTATAATGAACTAGAGAAAGACACCCAGGTATGTACCAACCATTACTCTGTGACAAGTCTGTATCCTCATCACTTTTTCTAGGTTAAAGATTTTGTGTCTCTCAATATTTGCGAAATCTCGTTGGGAGAGACCTGCACGCCACGTTACAACCGCTTTCACACCGGCGCGATGTTGCTAGCCTGGCATTACTATATCGATATTTCCACGGCAGATGCTCTGCTGAACTTCACTCCCTCGTACCCCCACTCAGAACATTCTCTGCAAGAACACGCTTAGCCACCTCAACAGCAGAAAATCACCCTTTCTTCCTCAATAGTCCATCAGTCAAGAGAAAATTTCATGCTGACAGTTTCTTCCCCAGAACCACTTCACTGTGGAACAAGCTTCCCCGTGAATGTTTCACCGCTAATTACAACCTCTAACGGTTTAAATCAAGGGTGAACAAATATCTGACCACGCAATCATCACTGTAACCCAAAACATGTAAGTGGCTCTCACGAGCCTTGTTTTGAGGTGAATTCTGAAGTAAATAAAAAATAAATAAAAAAATTTTGATTTGAGTGGACAAAACAAACACAGATTCTGAAGAACATTCCAAATTGAAGTGAAGTCCATAAATTGTTGAGTATTTTCTTGAAATTGGTGTCTCAATCCTGTGAAGTTCATAAGTTTATTCATTCATGTTCAAGAAACTTACTTCATAGATTCAACTTTAAAAGTTGACAACACTCAATGGCTTTTTACATGTAATTGCAAGTCGAAGGCATAAAGTAGTTGTCAAAGACAGCTTCCAAGCTTTTAGCTAGGGGGTGTCTATGTGTCTTTTGGACTCCCTGTACTGAAAATAACAAAAAAAAATTGGATGCCCTACTTTTTGGTAGGACACCATAAAGATGCCTTGTTTTACCCTCCCAACCGCTGCCATGCACACATGCCTCCCTTTAGCCTTACTATAAATACTGAAAATGATGTTGTAACGAAGGAAAAAACTTGTCTGCAGCCTGTATTCCTCAAAATTTTCACCTCAAAATGCAGGAAGTAGTGTTCAAAATTTTCACCTCAAAATGCAGGAAGTAGTGTTCAAAATTTTCACCTCAAAATGCAGAAAGTAGTGTTCAATTTGCACCTCAAAATGCAGGAAGTATTGTTCAAAATTTGTACCTCAAAATGCAGGAAGTATTGTTCAATTTGCACCTCAAAATGCAGGAAGTAGCGTTCAAAATTTGCACCTCAAAATGCAGAAAGTAGTGTTTAAAATTTGCACCTCAAAATGCAGCAAGTAGTGTTACGAATTTCAAAAAAGCCCCCTAAAAAGCTCTTGCCTACGCCACTCACTGCATAGCTTTGCAGCGATAGCAATAAAAAAATTGAAAACCCAACAAAAAATCCTAGCTAAAAGTCTGACAGTTTCGATCCCCCTGCATATACGACACAGTCGGCTGACCTCGGAATAGGAAAAAATGAAGCCAGACTGCCGCAGTGTTATAGGTCATTGCCATGTAATTGGCTGCAGCAAAATTGGAAATGATACGTTCATCAAGAACTCATTATTTCACATGATGGTGTCTATTGATTTGCTGTTGTGCACTCTTTGTGGATGATCTATGTACTGGGAATTTTGCCTTTCTATGTACTATCATCGATGGTAGTTCAAGGTCTTTTTTGAAGTACTTTAATTTACAACTCCAGTTGGAGTTTGGGTGGTCCCTACACAGAAGGTCAAAGGTACAATGTAGTGAGGGAAATATTCTCCAAAGTCATACCATCTATAATTGTAACGTTTGTGAACATCTATTATATAATGCAACCTTTAACTACCTACATGTACTTACATTAATTTTTTTTGTACTACCTTTTCTGTCACACCTGGGCCGCGATTACGTTTGATACGGGTGTTCCGGCCCGTGTGATAACTAGCGGTACGGCCCGGGGGTTCTTAACGCGTACGGCCCGGGGCTTCTAAATGTTCCATAGAACGATTTGAACGCGTTTCGCCCTAACCGCGTGTGCCACTTTTGAATTTCGAATACAAAATTCAGACGTTGGAATTGACGTATCAATATAGCCAGTATGACCGCCCTTCGGCGTAACACACCAGCTTCACAAGCACGTGGCGCGGCGACAGCTAGCTATATCACACCGAACGACTTGTTACACTTAATCATTGCACATTTGATTGCAGGAGTTGTTTAAAGCTTTCTAGTGATGATGCCCCAACTGTGCTTGGTGGCAACGAGTTCCAGTCTACAATAGTTCCGGGGAAATACAAGTTTTTGAATTCTTGGTTGATAACTCTGATATTTGATGGCATGACAGTCACTGTTTCTTGTTCTTTTCTGGGCTGGTATCAGATATCAGTGGTTGGTACGTCCACCAAGGTAGACATGAGGATGGAGATTTTATCATCAACCTTTAACAGAATTCTTCAAGTCATTATACAAATTTGTAAAATCTATCTAGTCAGCTGAAGCCATTATATAGCATACTAGGTACAATAATGCTGTGTGCTATTTCTGGAATAATATTATTATATCATCATCAACTGCTACAACTAATTGGTTAGTGTATATTAACTAATTATTCACGTAATTTCCAGTCAGGATAGAGTCAGGAATGAAATAGAAATACATTATATGATATGATATGAATCTTTATTGCATGTTCTTGCCCAGATGGGCTAAATGCACAAGAGGATATCCAGTATGTAAAACATGAGTATTTCATACTGGTACGCTATATTCTAATGCAGAGTGCTAGGAATCTATACATTACAATAATACTATAAACTACCTATTATCTACTGTTAGTTGCCCTTTCTTCTCTCTTTTTGAAACATTTGGAAACATAATTACATAGTTTGTCTACTGTACATTCGTTCTTGTATGACATCAAGTGTTTAAACATGTCCTGCTTTGACATTTTCTTACATATCTTGTCTAATTGTAAAGTATCAAGTAGCTCTTGGCATTCATCTTTATATAATGTACAGTCAAGTAGAAAGTGTATCTCGTTTTCAACATATAAATGATTACAGAATTCGCACGTTCTATCTTTCAGAGGGGTACGGCTATGCCTGCCGGATTCTATACGTAAGGGATGGTCACTAATGCGAAGTTTACACATGGCTCTGCGATGTTCGAAATTTGCAATGTTTAAATATGTTTCTCTTTCATTATTATACATATAGTCAACCTTCTCTGACTCATTTATGTTATAACCAGGGCGGTATCGGTCCTCTCATGTCTGTTCTGTCCGAGCGGATCACCACGATGTCTAAAGATGACGTCACCGCGCACCAATCCCAGACGGTCTCTTTCTTCATAACTGCGCTTAACTACAGAGCCAAACACGCACAGGTACTGTAATTCCTGATTTTTTTCATGGTACTGTTATGTTCACTGTTTTCACTGTCACTTCTGTACCATGAACTTATCATAACAGCTAAGGCCACACCAATTTGATTTCTTGGTTAACGGATTTGCCCGCTTCATTTTTTTTCTGATTTGCAACAAAAAAATTTTTTAAATTAAGAATCAACTGCAAAATGCTCATATTTTGCCCTGAACAGTTGAAAACAGTCCTTTTCTTCCTAGTTGTTACAGTTATTCCATCTTTCAATGCAGTCACTGTGGTATCATTAAAAGTTCAAAGTGCATTGTTTAAATTTTAACCAGCCTGGTGTGTTGACTTCATGGCTCCTATCGTGCCATTTTGGGCCATAATACGATGCCTAGGCCTGTTTTTATTTTTATTTTTTTCACCCTCCCACTCCATTATTATTCTACAAAAATTTGTTAACCAAGAAATTAAATTGGTGTGGCCTAACAATTGCAAATAATTCCTCGACTTTCTTTTCCCTGCACCCGACACCACCGTGAATAATATTACATATATATTATAATTATAGTTCGGTGAACATGTCCATTTTTCTCAGACCATGAACTTTAATTTGCTACCGTGAACATAAAGTGAATTACAGTAACTTTCAGGATGGAGACTAATGACCAGACAGGCCAAGGTGTCATGTCTAAAGGGTCAACTCAAAAATTGGGAGGTCACAGTTTTGGTATCTCACCAATTGAAGGATGACCAGCAACCATCTGGTCCATTATTTTTAAGTAGTGGATCAGCATGTCGGCAGAACGTACTGCACTTGCGCAAAACCCGTAGTGTATCGTGCATAGCACATTAGCAGAACGTCTCATATAAGGTTGTAACGTTACATGTATAAGCCTTAGGGTAACATCCCGTCTGTAGTTTCCAAATGTTACGTCAGAAAGGATATCCTCAGCAACAGGCAAAAATCTAATGCAACGATGACCAAACATCCAACGAAAACTGAAAAATCATGGTTTCAAGCATGTGCAGTACATTCTGCTGATGTGCTTAGTGGATCCATTTTTACTCCGTGAAGGAGGTCAGGACCTCCGGACGGAGTGTTGTAATCGGCTGATTTTTCATGTTCGCAGTCAAAACACTGGGTTCTCTTTGTGTAATCGGCACGCAATTTTATACGCCGTCTGCGGGCATGCCCGTGTTGATGCACGAATGTGTATTTTTGCCGTTGCTGCTTTCGCGGTCAATGTAATATCGCAGACGCACCCCTACAATTACGAGGCGAATTGGAATGGTCCAGAAAAACGCGTTGTTTGGAATAGCAGTGGGGTTCAAAAAAGTTCATGCAGATACGGGGTGGTTTTTATAAGTGGTTCCAGATGTTTTTGCCCATGGTTAAGAGATGCCAAGTTTTTTGGAAGAAGTTCGCAGCCAAAACGCATTCTTCCGTACGTCGCATTTCTGTGTAATTTCGCATGTGGTGTTGCATTATGTCCGGGATGATGCACGTCTTTTTATTTTTACCGTAGCTGTTTTTATATTGGAGTAAATGCTTATTTTCGAAACATCCCCATTTCTTTGAAATGGTTTCGTCCGTTTATGCAACTGTTACTGCGCTAATGACGACCAGTCGCGCTGTCCTGATACACCGCGAATGTGCGAGTGTTCCCTGTAGACAGTCCCGGGAGTCATTTTTTTGCACATTCCAGGAGCCAAACCAAAATACGTTCATGAACCGAGTCCAAAAAACCGAAACGTGAAAATCGGATGATCGGACCTGATGTACATTTCTCTTTCTATAGATTGTACACACAATACACACATCTTTAGATAATCTGGCCATGGCAGGTTAAAAAAAAGTAACCCTGAATCATACTAGATTAGCGTAAATGCATGTTAATGCGTTCAAAACAAGAAAAAAATTGTTTCCGGGTATTAATCTCTTGAATCACGGCGCTGAATATTGACGCAAAAATATTTCGGGCATCGCGCGCCCTTCCCGCGTCACGTGTAGGCATCTCGCATCTCTGATTGGTTGTTGCGTCTTAAGATGACTGAGCCGACGCGCGTTTAAACAATTTTTCTTTGTTCGATTTATCACACTTCACAGAGAATTGTCGCCAATGGCTACTTCTTTTTGTTGCAATATATAATACTTCACGGAGAATTGTCACCTATGGCTTCTTGTTTTTATTCACATTATATTTATTGAGTATTAGGCAAGTTTCAAGGCAGTTGCTTAATATGTGACACCTTCTACTCAAAAACATAAAATGAGTCAGAGTTAAACACAATGACAAAATTGCATTACATAATTACAAAATGGATAAAAGAAAACTGACAAAATGACAAAATTACATACATAATTACAAAATGGATAACTGTATTAACAACTTAAGTTGGTGATCAGTATCAACTAGAAGAATCTACTTGTACAAATGTACACTAACAGTGAATAGCACTTCAGCAGTGGATTTATTGTGCTTGAATGTAAAAGATACGTGACAGAATTCCCAAGAGTATCCCTCTTTCTCCTTCCAGACTGATTAGTCAAAGATAAAAAGGATCCTTGAAGTAATTACAAGTGGCAAGGCCTGATTTGTAAGATAAACCTGAGATTACCAAGAGAGCCTCCAAAGAAGCACTCAGTAGATGAATCGGGGAATCTAGCCATATCCTTGACTTGCTTGCACCTTTTAAATTTTCTTTGATCTCAACTTAAGGCCACACCAATTTATGTTAACGGTTCAGGTATTCGCCTGCTTTTTTTTTTTAAATTGCAAAACAGAAAACAAAACATTTCAGGCTCTGAATCAAAACATTTCAGGCTCAGCCCCGCCTCACAACTTTTTATAAACTGACCCATAATATTATTAAGATCCCCACCAGCAACATGCTCAAGCCAGCCCAAGGGCGTACCCGAGGGAGCCACCAGTATAAATTTCAACCTATACATGCACGAACAGACGCCTACAAATATTCCTTCTTCCCTCGCACAATCCCCAATGGAACGCCTTGCCTGGCCCGGTAGTTATGGCTCCCACCGTTGAGTCCTTCCGGGCCAGGCTGGAGGCCTGCCCGCCTTAAACCAAGGCCTCCCCCCCCCTAAAGTGCCCCATCAGGGGCTATATGGGGGTGTAGCCGGGGCTCACATAACATCTTTGAGCCCCGGCAAAGATGAAGATGAAGAATCAACTCCAAAATGCTCATGATTTGGCCCATATAGTTGAAGGAAGTCCCTATAATCTCTTCAGAGTTGTTACAGTAACTGTTACAGTTTTTCCATCTATCAATGCAGCTGTGGTTGGACTAAAGTTTGACATACATAGTAATGTTTGAATTGCAAACCAGCATGGTACATGTTTGTTGACTTCATGGTTCCTATCAAAGCATTTGGGGCTATCATAGGATGACTAAATTTTAAATTTTTCACACTGTTGCTTCATATTTTAAAAAAAAATCCAACAAATCAAAAGAACCAACAAATGGAATTGGGGTTGCCTGACAGGAAGAAAATACTATATAAAAGTTAATATGAATAGTAAGATCGTGTTTTATTGGATCGTTAGTCTACTACATAAAATCAAATTAAAGGAAAATTATTTCATTAACATGTAATGGTAATAAAATACATTTACAAATCTGTGCCTGCATGCAGTAGCTTAAAATTTACTGTAAGTTCTCAAAAAGCACTTAGATTTGTAAATGAAAATGATTACACTGGTCCAGGTCTTCTTTAATATATTGTAGATTAATTGAAGTAAATTAATCGTTATCATACGGAGTTGCCTTCGTGATAAACTGTTCCATTTGCCAGGTAATATCTTGTAATTGCTGTTCTCCTGTAGGATGACTTTGAAGATGTACAGCAAGTTGAAGGTCATGTGATGGAGGCTGTTCTGTCCTTGGTGATGAAGTTGTCAGAGGTCACCTTCAGACCCATGTTCTTTAAGGTAAGATTCAAACTTATTTCACTGTTAAACCTTCAGATGGAAAGACTCGGTCTTTTGGTGATCCTTATATGATACTAAATGTGCTGATTTTCATGTATTGTATAATGAAGGAAGTACATTGTGTAGAGGCCAATTGATTTGTTTTTTCACAGATATTAATAAAAATAATTATATATTACATGTACCATTTTTATAAAAAGTTACTTGGCATGAAACACTTATTTACCAAAAAAAAGCAACCCAAAATTTAACGTGATCCCACACTGAACCACACAAAGGCAAATTTTGTAGTATGTAAAATTGTAAAGTCATGTGATCTTATTGCACACATAATAAACTTTTATTGTCCAACATCAACTACCTGAAAGTTGAAACCTAGTAGTTAAGAATTTTGCTCACACATAAATTTGATAGTAATTACAATTATTGTATCTTATGCCTGGAAATGAATCTATAAGGCCACACTGATTTAATTTTATGGATGACATCCACGCGCACATTGATTTTCTCCAATTCTAAAAAAAAATCGTCCAAGGCTCTGGCCTGGATGCCATCCTCCATAGTCCATGGTAGCTTAAGCAACAGTAGGGAGCCGGCGGTAACAACAGAAGTTGGCACCCAGGCTGCTGAAGCTCCACAGAACTCAAGAACTCAGTACAGTGCTGACTCATAAATGCCGCAAAAGGCCAGCATGTCCCGGCTTGTCGTAAAAGTCGCTATGTACTACCACAAATTCACAATACCAGCTTTGTATTCCTGTGGTTTAGCAGCATTTTTTTGTATTGGAATTTTTTTATTCGCCCGCGCGCACTACTTTTAGGGTCTTCAGAGGATGTCATCTATAAGATTACTATAAAGTCAGTGTGGCCTAACAGTTACGTTTTTTACATGCTTGTTTTTCCCGCCATATCCAGCTGTATGACTGGGCCAGCCGTCCTGACAGCTCCAGACAGAGGTTACTGACCTTCTACCGGCTGGCAGAGGCCATGGCTGACAGGCTCAAGAGTCTGTTTGTGCTGTTCGCTGGCCACATTGTCAAAAATGCTGCCTCTACTCTAGACTCTAACAATGTCTATAAAACAGGTATTGATAAACACAGTTTGTGTTATAGAATTTTTTTTTTTATTTGATTTTAAATTTATTGAAATTGCAATAATGCAATACATGTGGGACACAGGCAGCTGTTGCTGGTGCCACACATAGAAACAAATACAAAGGATAAAAGACAGGACAATACTCATTCTCACTTGAGTTAAGTGGGGAAAGTTGCGTTACATGTAAGTGCCTTTTCCAAGGGCACAAGATTGGTGGTAACCAGGACTTGAACCCAGGACTTCTTAGTTCCGAGTTGAGCACTCTAGATCTGCCGCTGCCCCACACGACCCAACCAAAATATTTTTTGTTTAAACAGATTTCATAGATTTAATTTTTTTTAAAGATGAACACTTTCCATGAAAAATACAGTATGCATGTGAGTGTGAGTGATGTATGTTCACAGTGGAATATGAGAACATAGACCAAACAATTCTAGGGTTTTTCTTAAAGCTTGTTTTTGTAATTTTGAGTGATAATAATATTACAGAACTCTATCAAGAAATATAAACATTATACATTTTACCTTGTGACAAATTTATCTTGACATGTGATGACAAAATGGTTGTTTAGAGTTAAAACTTCAGATCCAACACAAAAAGTTTTCTCAACTAGAGCTTTCAACCAGTCACTCTGGTCTTCCTCAGTAGACTGGCCCAGTGAGGCTTGTCACATGGCTTCTTTGAAGTGTGACGTCAACACTGGGTCAAAGGTATCTGGTAGAAGATGTCCGCCCCCGTTGACAAAAAAGTTGTTCCTTTATTTTCCAGAAGAGACATATTTTGGTGACAGCGATGCGGACCAGAAGAAGTCCTCCCTGTTGCTAGGATACATCCTGGACTGTCTCTACAAAGTCTTCCTGTATGATAATGAGAACTTTGTCAACAAGGAGACCTTTGACCTTCTGATGCAGCCTCTGGTGGACCAGGTAAGGATGTATCATCCATATTGCTTAGGCCACACCAATTTAATTTGTTGGTTCTCGGATTCGCCTCTTCGTTTTTTTCTGATTTGCAAAAAAAAAAAAATAGATTCTGGTCCTGAATCAACTGAAAAATGCTCATGTTTTGCCCCCCAACAGTTGAGGAAAGTCCTTTTCTTCCTAGTTGTTACAGTTTTCCCATCTATCATTGCAGTGGTTTGATTTAAAGTTCAAAATTCGATGTTTAAATTTTAACCCAGCCTTTTGTGTTGACTTCATGGCTCATTTTGTAGCATTTAAGCCTATAATAGGATGCCTAGACCTGTTTTTATTTTTATTTTTTTTCGCCCTGTCGCTAAGCCTTCATATTTTTTTCTGAAAAAATTCGAGAACCAACAAATTAAATTGGTGTGGCCTTATTAAAATATGATCAGGCCTCAAAATTAACTTTTCTTCCTATTGTCCCAGCACTGCCCCAAAAATAAATTTCAGTCGTCCCAAAGTGAGGATGAACTGTCCCAACCTTCTTTTTGGGAACTTGAAGTCAACTTTATTTTGCTTATGTTCACTTCCAGGTGCACCATAATTGCAGGGTGGTATTTTAAACAAAAGAAAGGCTGACATTCCGATGTTGATTATTTTTTTGTTGTTCCAAAAATGTCCCAAAGTGTCTTTTTAGTTGTCCCAGCGTAAAATTTAGTGGCCATTGGACAACCTTTAATTTTTTGCAAATCAGAGAAAAAATGAAGAGGCGAATCTGAGAACCAACAAATTAAATTGGTCTAGTCTTAGGCCATACCCAAGAAAATCAGCCTTGTTAAACAAAGATGTTTTCTTATCTTCTACACTAGATTGAGAACCTTCAAGGAGGTGAGGAAGTCTTCACAGCTAGAGTGGAGAACCATGTGGTGCCGTGTATCGCACAGTTTGCTGTAGCAGTAGGTGATGATGCCTCATGGAAACCTCTACATTACCAGATCATGCTGAAAACTCGACACGACTCACCCAAGGTAAGAAAACAACACGTCAAACTGTTATCACTCTGATGAAAGGTAGTGGTTGCTACCCGACACCTCTTCTTGTATAATGCTGAGCCCAATTTACATTGGATTAATAGCAGCTGCACATGTGTTAGTTACAAAACAGGTGACCGGTACAAATAAAAACAAGGGTAACTGAAGGAGGGGACACTAAGGAACGTAAATAACTGAGTCTGTTGGTGCAAAGGACAAGACAGTGCATTTAGTGTGTTAGTAGGACATATATACATATATATACAAGACGTGTAGGGACGACTCAATGCAGCAGGGTCCTCGCCAGTCCAGTTTTGAACTGGGCGAGGGACCCCGCCTCCGCCACACCAGGCTCAAGTTCGTTCCACTCTTTGATGGTACGAGGGAAGAATGAGAGCCTGTAAAAGTTGTTCCTACTCGCGATGGTCTGCAGCTTAAGAGCGTGGTTGGTGCGGCGGGAGCATCGAGCCGCCGGGACAACTCTAGCGTGCGGCACAGAAATAACATTGTTGGTTATCTTGTACCCAATGTGGCAAGTCTGGCGTTCTTCCTTCGGATTGCTAAGGACTGCCAGCCAAAGACTGGCACCTCTGATCTGCTTGTCAGTAGTAATTCTTTTTTTGGTATATCTTATTACCAGGCACCGGTGCAATAGCTCGATTGGCAGAGTGCTCGCTTTGTAACTGGGAGGTCGTGAGTTCAAACCCCGGCCAGGTCATACCAAAGACTTTAAGAATGGTACACACTTCTTTCTCTGCTTAGCACTCTTAGCACATTTGAGAAAGAGTGTGGGAAGGTCAAGCACACAGAACTACATGTACCAGCGGACTAGGCCCATGCTGTAGTGTCTGCCTTGCACAACTGTGTGTCGCCCAAGGGCTACGAAAATGGAGATGGGCACCACCCTATGCTCTACGTAAGAGCACGGGATGCCTTGAAGTTCTTCTTATTATTATTAGTACCTGGATGTCTAACCTTCACAGACACATCACACTACATGTATTCCTTACTTTTATGGAATGCAGTAGCTTTTTATAACAAGCAGCAGATGTTCTTTTATGTTCTGCAGCACATAAGGGAAGCAAATTTCCCTGCGCGTATGTATACTGGCAAAAGTTTGTGAAAAAATGCACATAAAATACCTTCATCAAGACCTAGTAAATTATTTTCCTCTTGTGTTAAACACACAGGATAGATTTGTAGCACTACAAGTTCTAGAAGACTTGCAGAGAAAGTTGGAAGAGATCCTCATTATGTCTTTTTTTTCTTAAACCACACAGGTTCGATTTGCAGCGTTACAGGTCCTGGAAGAGTTCCAAAAGAAGCTGGGAGAAAGCTTCATGGTGCTTCTGCCTGAGACCATCCCTTTCCTCGCAGAGCTTATGGAAGGTCAGAAAATTTATCATACCTGTAGTTAGAGCTGTGTACCGGTACGCAGTACCGATACTGTACCGGAAAAATTGATTAGGTACAGGTCCAAAATACCTAATCCCTCAGTACCGGTACCGTACCTAAACAATTTCACACCAATTTTATGCCTATTTGTGACCTCAAATCGGTCCCTGTGTAAGGACAGTGTGTTCATGAAAACAAAAACATCTTTAGTTTTGCCTATATTTCATCTGAGCATTCGCCATAAACAAAGAATAAACCTTAACTATCAAGTTTATTAAATGTTTTTTTGTTATTGAAGGAGTTCAGAAGAGCATATAAATTGGTCGAATTGTACAGGTTCAGGTCCGGACCTGTACCTAAACCTGTGTACCTGTACCTGTACCTGTACCTAAAATTTGTTTAGGTACACAGCTCTACCTGTAGTACATGTATAATAACGCAGGGCTCGAAAAGCCAAAATTGTTTGGAGCTGTGCGCCCAATTTTTTTCTGTGGGTGCCCTGGCATGCATCCAAATATTTTTGTAGGTACGTTTGTACATATTACGCGTATAATAGTATTAAGGATATTCTTGGCATCGAATTGTCAGTAGTCTAAGAATAATTTTTTGGCATATCTTATTACCTTGATGTCTAACTTTAAGGCCACACCAATTTAATTTGTTGGTTTGATATGAAGCGACAGGGGAAAATAAAAAATAAAAACAGGTCTAGGCATCCTATTATAGCCCCAAATGCTACAATATAGGAGCCACGAGGCCAACACAAAAGGCTGGGTTGATATTTAAACAATGAATTTTGAACTTCTAATCAAACCACTGCATTTGATAGATGGAAATACTGTAACAACAAGGAAGAAATGACTTTCCTCAACTTTTGGGGGCAAAATATGAGCATTTCTGAGTTGATCCAGAACCAGAATCTTTTTCTTTTTTTTTTCAAATGAGAATAGAGATGAATCCGAGAACTAACAAATTAAATTGGTGTGGCCTTACCAAAGTTTCTTGCCAATCTAATTTAATTGTTTTGTTTTGTACAGATGAGTGTGAGGAGGTGGAGGATCAGTGTCAGAAGGTCATCAGTGAGATGGAAACCACTCTGGGTGAAGATTTGCAGAAATACTTCTAGAATAGACAACCTACATTGTATCAAGAAAGTTGAAGTATTTAATTCTTCGATTTTATTTGTTTGTTTGTTTGTTTTGTTACCCTATGAGTCATGCACCCTTTTGTTTCTTTTTTTAAAATTTTTATTGGTATTTCGAAATACAAAAACATGTACAGACAAGACATGAACAAAGCAAAAAGTAATTATAACGTAATGGTAACAGAGAAATAATCCACGGATCCAAAAATACAATCGAGATAAAACAAGGATAACAGCAGGGAAAAAACCTCGAAATAATAGTACTTGATCTACTATAATACAGATGACAGAACAATATGTTTCTTGTTTGATATTCTCTTTACAATTCTCTGTGAAAAATCTCCTATAATATTTCTTCACAAGCAAGAAGTCTTTCCCATGAAAAAAGTGCACCCAAATTTGGAGCTGTGCACCCAATTTTTTCTGTGGGTGCACCAGTGCAACCAGATATTCTTGTAGGTTTATATAATTATGTAAAGATGTTAAATGTATAGTAGTATACAGCATAACATCCAAGTGTCAGAAAAATAATTAAAGATAACTCATTGTTATTATAACAAATAGTACTTTTCTTAAGAAATGAAAATTAGTTTTTGCTCACACTACTTACTTTATCTTATATGGTGCACCCAACAAATTTTGTGCACCCAATTTTTTAGGTGGGGTGCACCAGTCCACCTATTCCCCAAAAAATGAATTTCAAGCCATACATATACATGCATGTTGCTCTTTACTATAGTTTGGGTTACACAAAATTAGGCCACACCAATTCAATTTGTTGGTTCTCGGATTTATTCAGAAAAAATATGAAGCGACAGGGCGAAAAAAAATAAAAATAAAAACAGGTCTAGGCATCCTATTATAGGCTTAAATGCTACGAAATGAGCCATGAAGTCAATATAAAAGCCGGGTTAAAATCAAAACATTGAATTTTGAACTTTTAATCAAACCACTGCAATGATAGATGGGAAAACTGTAACAATTAGGAAGAAAAGGACTTTCCTCAACTGTTGGGGGCAAAACATGAGCATTTTTCAGTTGATTCAGGACCAGAATCAATTTTTTTTTTGCAAATCAGAAAAAAACGAAGAGGCAAATCCGAGAACCAACAAATTAAATTGGTGTGGCCTTATGTGTACTTGCTCACTAGCACTTCAATGGGTATTACCTCATCCCGTGCGAAAGTGACTACGAGTACATGTACATTGTAGGCCAATGGCTTTTCTATGCGTGAAATACATATTGATAAGAATACTAATCATGTTGTTATTAGTTTTTACAAAGTCTTAAGTACATCATCCCCCATGTCATAAGCGTTTTGTAATTTCTGACTAGTGATCAGTATTGATTGTAAACTTCATTAAGGACACTGATAGTATGGGATTATATCTGATTTAGCTCCATGTATGCAGGGGTTTTAGGAATGGACTTTTATACCCAGATGACTTTTTATCCAAAGGGGGTATATTGTTTCTTTATCTATCATTTATGTGCTGTCAGTTATTATGTAGCACGGAATGTTTTGATTGAACACAGGATATCAAACATGTATGTATGTATGCATGTATGTATTAAACATACAATACAGGTAATTACGTACTATATATGAAAATTCTGACAAACCAGATATAGAACTAATATAAAATAAAACCTTATGAAAAACTTGAACTTTTCTCCAACTCGAAATTTGACTCACCAGAAATTTTCGACCGAATCACTCAGTCTTCCTCAGCTATCTGACCCAAATGCTGTGGACACGTGATTTTTCCCACGTGTGACGTCAGCAAAGGGTCAAAGGTTGTCTGAAGTCGATATCGCCCCCCGTCCCGGTTGAGCGATGGTTGAAGTGCCCTGATGTATATGGCCTCTTTTTTCGAGTTGGAGAAAAGTTTAAGTTTTTCATAATGTAATTTACCAACTCAGATGAACTTTCATGCTGATAAAATAAAACCATTGTTAATTTTTTTGTTCCTTTCAAAGTTGTTTCTTTACATCTCTGCTTACTGCCTAAGTTTTTTTTTTTTTTTTTCATACAGTTTGTCATACAAAAAGGTGCTTACACTGGCTGCTACAGTAATAGGGCCGGACAAACCCCTCGGGCTCAACTCCCCCGTAGCGGTAATTTAGATAGGCGGGCGAAGGGTTCTTGGCTGCCGAAGGAGAACGGCTAACGGCCCGATACTAGTTTGGCATCCAGGGTAACTGGCTGCATGACACTTGCATCTGCTGAAGTCGTCAGAAAGATACTTTAGATGTAAGACATGTATGGAGCCATTAGGTCCAGCCTAGCCCATGTATGATGTATCAAGACCAGCTAAGCTTATTTTTTCAGACAGTTTTTTTTTTTTTACACAAAAAGGTCGTTACACTGGCTCAGATACTTGCATCTGCCAAAGGCGTCAGAAAAAAATACTTTAGATGTAAGACATGTATGGAGCCATTAGGTCCAGCCTAGCCAATGTATGATGTATTGAAACCTGCTAAGCTTAAGCTTATTTTTTTTATCAAGATCGTTTGTCACACAAAAAAGGGTGGTTACCCTGGCTGATGCTTGCATCTGCTGAAGTCGTCAGAAAAATACTTTAGATGTAAGACATGTATGGAGCGATTAGTTCCTAGCCCATGTACGATATATCAAAACCTGCTAATTTTTTCATTCAGACCGTTTGTTACACAAAAATGGTGGTTACACTGGCTGCATGATACTTGCATCTGCCAAAGGCGTCAGAAAAATACTTAAGATGTAAGACATGTATGGAGCCATTAGGTCCAGCCTAGCCCATGTATGATGGATCTAGACCAGCTGGCCTGCCCAGCTAATCGAGTGTATAAAGTGGCTGTGTTTTAGCAAGTATGATGTCCTCCCTCATGACAAATTAAGCTGGAGCGAGACCATGTAAATGCCGTAAAATCCCAGCGGCTGACCTTCGTGATCTCCTTGTTGACAAGAGGCAGCTGATAGTTATCTGTGAGAAATGTGGCGCCACTGGGAAGCTCTTTCCCATCTTAACACCACAGAACGTGTAAGAAATATTCATGCTGTACATGAAGTACTAGCAGCTTTGAAAAGTTTGGTGGCACCAAAGGGTACATTATTCTCAGCAACACAGAAGGGAAACTTCACAATCCAACATGCGAAAGGGTCAATGCCAGCTACCAACTACATCTAAAGTACATTATTTTGGAATAAGTACTATTAAAATCCTCTTTGCGGCAGGCTCTCTTTGCTGTACATTCAATAAAAGTTTAACCTAAAGAAGCAACTTTGTCGCCAATACATGCTAAGTCAACCCCAACTAATTGGCTGCCGCAGAAAGGCAATACAAGGTTTAAGGTGCCATAGTGACTGTACAGTTAACGCTTTGAGAAGAAATGGAAATACTGTAGAGAAAGAGGATTATGCTCCTGTCTTGTTCCTAATCACTGACAGGTTAAGAAGCCGAACAACATGGGAGTCTTGCCATCTTTGATCATCCTTTAATCACACCGTCAGTGTTGCTTACCATGTTGGCGCCAGTAAAATACCTCTTGTAATGGCTAAATGGCTACTTTCAGATAATATCCCCGGAGGCAACTGATGAACACTAGGGTCATCGACTTCCTCCAATAAGTTACAAATCGTCTTAGTCCCAAAGGTACGAGCATGTCTGCATTTACCCCCGATATGCTTCATTTCCAAAGATGAGTGTTTCCTAGTTGTGAAGACTTAATGCTTTAATGGGGACGGTTTTCTAGACGTGCCTGGACTAAAAGGCATTGTAACAGTCGCTTAGAGAAATGGCCTACTTTTACTAACGCATTCCTAAATCCAGTTCATTGAAATTGAGCTACTCTGTGTGTACTGTATTAGGAGATAGTCGTAGGGCAAGACGTACCCACCCGTAAAGCACAATTTGCTTTGGAAAATAGAAAATGCTGAAAAACACGTGCATCTAAAATCTGCAGTCCATAAGCATCAAGGCCAGATGCCCTATCATATACATTGGTACATTTACCATATGGCCACAGTCTCATATTGATGCTGATCAGGCAACGTTATTGCCAGAAGCAAGGTGTGGAGCAGGGTTGGACAAGTCCCATTGCCCACTTGCCCAGGGCAAGTAAAAGTACTGTTCGGGCAAGTAAATATTCCCCAGGCAAGTTAATTTTTTTTATGCATTGTTTGGAGCAAAATTACACATCATTTTGAAATAAAGATATTGTATTGATAAAAGTAAAAAATAAGCCCTTTTGTCCGAAAAGTCTAAGTACCCTTATTTTGGTAAATAAAGCAAGCAACATTAGAAACTGAAGTTTTTTTATTGAAAAATAAAATAATTTTCTTTCTGCAAGTAAAATGCATAGAAAAACGTCATATTTCGGGCAAGTGAAAAGTTGGTTCGGGCAAGTGGAAATGACCATGTAGTGGATTTTTGAAAACTTGTCCAACCCTGTGGAGTTTGGTTGGCAAGAAAGGAAGGTTTAGCTTGTGTGAGCCATTGATAAGACATACTATTGGGTACTTATTTGGTGTATTTCTATCCCTTTGTAGTCCGTTTTACTCCTAAAACGTCAGTATCTACTGCTTTTTATAGCATGTCATGGAAGACATCTAAATAATAGCGATACTATGGGTATCCTGCAACTCCCGGCCATGGCAGCCGTTCTGAAGTTTTAACTTTCGTGCAGAATGGGTCTGTTACCAGTAATGCTGAGATCACAATTCCCATACGGGGCCCGGCCGGGCAACTTTTGGGAACGAAAAGTACGATATAAAAGACAAGGCACAGAAGTTGTTTTTTTTTTTTAATAACAATCATGGACACTATTTCTGCACATTCCTGATATGAATTGTTAGTTTTTTGTTCATACAAACTGCACGGAAGGGCCCCGGTTTGGAAAAACATAACATCTTGAGTTACCATACTCTGCTCAGTGTCAGTTCCCTTTTCCCTGTATCTGACATGCCATGGAAATTATCCAAGTTTAAGCTTTTGTGCAAAATCGCCTTGCTAACAACATCATGAGTCTGATCTCCATTCCTTGATTTTCGTGCTTTTGACCTTGAACGGCTAGGACTTTGAGTATTGGACTACGACTCTGTTTTGACGAATCGGACTTTTATGTTTACTGTATGTTGTCTTACTGTACGTTACTATGTCCTGTGTAATTTTGCTGGGCCCCCTTGGAAAACAGCTGATTCATGCTGAATTGGGGCTACCCAGCCGTCTTGAGATGAAATAAATAAATGAGTCACCATGCATTGTTTAGTGTCAGAGCAATCCAAAAAGTATCGGACTTCGTCTCTCATATTGCATCAACAACTCTGTGGCTAGTTTCCGCTATTAGACAAAAATATCCAATCACCTTGAAGCTAGAATCTTTTGATTTAGATATGCTTTTGATTCATACTCTTGCCTTCGAATGATTGAATT